CAAGGTCAAACAATTTGTGATGTCACACACACATTCATTGCAGTGATTACGCGACATTTGCAAACGTAGCAAGTAACACGCTAACCAGTTTTGCATTAAGTGAAAAAAGTGCTTGAACACCCAACAAAGCTACATCCACACTCATCTCTCCCACCATTGTTGTTTTGGTGCAAAATTTACATCACACTTAACACAGCATCTCAGTTGCACAAAATGCCAGCCTGGCTGACCCACAAATATATATCGCCCTTAGCTTGATTTGTATGAACAGCACAAGAGCGGGATATTGGCAGTAGTAGCGCAGGACCTCAGTGTAAAGATGACTAAAGAGCATAAAGGGGGTAGGAGGAGGTTCTAGCACTGGAAAGCTGCCAGTATGAGGTGTTGTTCATGCCACAGAGAGGCAGGAATTTTGCTTCCGCCATGAGCTTGTGCTCAGACTGAAATTGACAATGAGTTGGAAAAAAAAAGTCACACACACTAACAGGTTCAATTTGATTCACTCACAAAAATCTTTTATCTAAACACTATTGTTAAATAGTGTCTTGTGTTATAAAGATGGAAATACATTATTTATTATAAGGTTTGAGCTCTTTATTAGGGAAACTAAAAGGGTTAGTGTTTTGTTCCCTTCAATCCTAATGTGAATCCTTTAATATTGGGACTCTGTCCATACAGAATCACAGAAGAAGAATACAGGTACTGTTGAATAAATGTGCATCTGGCACACTGAAATAATACTAAAGTTAGCACACATTAGTGCTTGTCAAAATGGATGATTCAACTACCAAACATCCTGTTTCAAAATGATAAAGTTTATACATTTAAATCACAGATATATGAATGGAATTTTAACTGGGTGATTCCAATTGAAACTGATGTGGCACGATGAGCTAGAGACAGGATGCTTCACTCAGTTGGAGCTGTCGAAACTACGAGTTGAGCCCGATCATAGATGATCTTTGGCTGAATACAGACATAGACTCCAGAGAGCATAAATCAATTTTAATTATGCACTGGTATCAAGTTATTAACAGAATGAACAGTAAATAATTAAGTAATTAAATGCATTTCTGCATACCTCTGTGCCAAGACAGTGGTGTTTTAACTTTTGATGAAAAATGCTAACATTTAAAAAAATAAAACAGACTGGTGTTTTTCCACATTAAGATTTTCTGACTGTCTGAAAGCAGCTCACACAAGAAATAAAAACAGCTGAACAAAAGCTGGATGTTGTTGTGGGCTTAATTGCCCCCCCACACAGCCACAAGATCACCACTAAATCTTTCAGCACCATCTCCACCATCAGCTAAAATTACCATCCTCCTCTAATTGATATGAACAATAACAGAAAATAGCTTGTTAATGGTGAATATCATTGTCCCAGAGAAAAATCCCAAACACAGAAAATCACACTTTACAGCAGGAGTGAACAGAAGGCAACGTCTGGGCTGCGGCCAGCGAGCAGGGAGAGACATTTCACTGCAGACATCCATCTACAACCTGAATCACATTTCATTACTGGGTCACCCATTAAACGCTCCACTCGTACAGTCTGATACACAACATGGCTTCTACTGCAAGATTTCATGTTTATATATATGTACATGACATGACATGAGGCTACATAGTGACTGTGCATTAGGAAAGCAAGACAGTTTATATTAGTATGTGTTTATGTGTGTAAAGGTATAAACTCTATTTACTGGATGAAATGTATTGAAATTCCAGAAGTGCAAATCAGGCAAATCGAAAGGTCAGAAAAGCAGTATACAAAAAAAGTCCATTATTCTATTAAATTTGATTATTTTGAAGGGTCTCCTGTGTAGTCCCTATCCATGTGCACGACAAGAAAACTATCGACACTGCTTTTGTAACTCGCTCACCACTCAATTTCTAACACACTGCTGAGAGGACGAGGGCTAACCATCAGCTATAATGAGCTGAGTTTTGAGCAACTACATGACTGGTGACTCTAAACTGCCCCTAGGAGTGAGTGTGAGCATGAGTGCTTGTGGCTGTCTGCCTCTGTGTGTCAACCTTGTGATAGACTGGCAACCCTGTCCACGGTGTACCCCAGATCTCTCCCAAGGTCAGCTGGGATTGGATCCAGCCCTCTTCAGGACAAACCGATGTTATTCCATGCCACATTATTAACTTAGTGATGTCATCCACAGGATGAAAACATTACGTGCACACTGCTGTGCAGTCACAGACAGCATTGGGTACAGTGGGGTACAGCTTGAAACAAACAGTCTAACACATTATGATTTATCTACAGACAGGGATTGCAAGACTTCCTGGAGATCTGCTACTGTATGTTTTGGCTAATGGAACTGGTGTGACATATTTACCCTTTAGACTTGTTATGTGTCCTTTTCAGCTTACACCCCCTCAGTGTTAATAGTGAACAGCCTCAAAAGCAAACCAAAACAGTCCACACCTGTTTGTATCTTTCATAGCGGCTTCAATAGCATTAAAATGTACCTTTGTGTTGTGAAAACCCTACTGCACATCAAAAGTAATGGAAAATATAGGTGTGTATACTATAGTAGCCAATGTGTACATTCACTGGAACTGTAAGTACTTCATCCCTATGGGAGACTAGAGCAGTTGTCAGGCAGATGATGGCTGTTACTGCATGTCTACCAGTGATCTGACTCATTCCAGATACCATGTCTGCATTTACACCGGCTATATGTGCTGCAAGTGTAATTGTTGAGTAACATGTATAGTGTTTTCTTTCTGATGTGTTGAAGTGCCTTGCGTCTTGTGTGTCAGCATATACAGCATTATTATTATTTGTCAGTATGTCTCTGCTGTGTTTTGAGAAAAACAAATGCCTGTAATTTTTTTTGTTCTTGCTGAATGAAGTGATTCTGATTCTGGTCTTTTCAGGCATATGACCAGGTTCTCTTTTCATAAGTTATACTGAATTTCTCCTGCTGAATGCTGGCTTTGCTCACTGGCTGCATTCATCCAATCACCCCCCAGTGTTAGCTTTAGAGATTTGTAAGGGGAAAGATTTTCATCTGCAAACAAACTGCTGTTCTTGATAGAATTCCTCCGTTAGTCCACCCTGAATGTTGTTATTAAGCAACCTAAAATGACACAGTCTGCAGGGGGGCCTGCCAGTGGAAAGATGCTGTCTATTAGCTGTCAACAATGACCACTGGGTTTACCCTCCCATGGGACTGGCAAGCAAGGCACCGTCTCATCCCAAGTCTGGCTGAGAGATCACACAGGCCCCATTGTCTCAAGCTGCCTGGGGTCTTATTGTAGCACTGCCTCTGGGAAAAGATGAGTCTTCATGTCCGTAGTCTGTTAAAGAATAGGCTTTCTCCAGGGTATGGCCCTGAAAACTGTAAGGGATGAATCTAGGGGAACACAGAGAGGCTACGGAGTAGATTTGGAATGGGGGCACCCCTCCTTAGAAGAGTTTAGAGTCCCCATCCAGCCCTCCCTCTCCCAGTGCTGACCTCCCTTCTCCACCTCTGTTTAATAATGCCTGGGCCTTGGTCATTATTTTGGGCAGATGGAGACGGGGGCAGGCAGTGAAAGAAGCTGGTGTCACTCCTGAGGAGAGGATGGTAGGGATGACAGAGAAGAAAAAGCAAATCAGAGAAAAGATCAAAAGCAGAAGCTCGCCTTTCACTCGCCTGAAAGCGCTAAAGAGGATAAGGAATGATCGGGTCCGGGGTCTCCTGTCCTCTCTGGCAATTAGACTCAGCTGATGGAGAGAAAGGCATGAATGGCAGGGTTCAAGGCCCTCTCTAGGACTCAAGTTTTCCCCAACACCTCCTTTATCTTCCTCTCCTTTCAGAGTGTCAGAAATGCAGCTGAAATATCTCTCCAAAAGACAGCACAATCCCCAATGCCCAACCTTAATCACAGTGGCTGATGAGATTGAGGGGGTGGGGGTGCTGTTTGAGAAAGACACACATTCTTTTCACAATTCAACTTTATGAGGATTCAAGGGAGGTGTAGTAGCTTTGCATGTGACAACTAAATTTAACAAATCAGGGTTCATATTTGAAACAAGAGAACATAAGTAGGATGCATTCTATGGTGTTTATATATATATAAACAAATATAGGATAGAATAAATCATCGTGTTCTACAATCTATTACAAAATGGAAATGTTTCCAGCAGGAGATACATGAACTGATATTGGAATGAGTTTAACCCACTCATTTTGAAATGATAAAAACACTAAAGTAAAAACAATAAATTAAAGTATGAAATTTAAATTCCAGATGCATCAAATGAATAGAAAACTAATTAAAAAAAGAATACGTACAGTAATTAGCATGCATAAATCAGTAAACAAATGTTACTGGTATGCCCTCCGTGTGTCCCTGCTGGACGGGCAGCCATGAGGACAGTTTTGTAAAAGAGCTTCTAGTGTTTCATACAATTTAGTATTTATTGTTTTGACGATACAGCCATCTCGGTCATGACCACAGCAACATGTCCCACAGGAACCTATTACTGTCCTCTACATATGCAGTAGTTTCAATAGGTCGTCTGTCATCTTCACAGAGGGACATGCAGCTTTTGCTACAACTTTAACAGCTTGTCATAAAAGGTGCACAGGGGATTTCAATTGCACAGGTCATCAGAGAGTGAAGAAGCAGTATCTGGGTCACACAAATTCAATTTTAACATATGGTAAAGGTTGTGAAAAATCCATTTGTAAAACAAAGAAAAACAAAAGCATCAGAAGTACATGTAGCTTTGCTGAAACCTGACACAAAGTAGGTAAAACGGGACAAAGAAAAACTGGAGGATTAGATGCTGTGTTTAAATAGTGGGTTTGTCCACGGAGTCCTCCCTTCAGAGGTTTACTTAGGACCAGCAGCATGGACATTAACCCATAGTGCTCCTGCAGACACACCTGTAGAGGAGAGTATAAAGACCCAGAACGGAACTGAGTCAGACATCATGCTTCTTGGAGTATCCCCACAGCAGCAGCCCAGACTCCAGACTGACCCTGAAGATGACTCCCTCTGCCAGCCTGCTAATGCTGCTCCTGCTCAGCCTCTCTCAGGCTCATCCTCTCCAGAGGAAAGAAAACAAAGAAGGAGATGGCATAGATACTGTCGACATCACTACCAGGATTCTGACAACCAATGAAGTCGCTAATGAGACCCTGCTGGAAGGAGACGTATTGATTCCCAGAACCAGAAGTGCTAAAATATGCTTGGACCAGAGCTGCCGGTGGAAGAAATCCTCCAATGGCTTGGTGATGATCCCTTTCACCATTAACAGTGATTTCACAAGTACAGACAGGCAGGTCATTAGCCAAGCTATGCAGGCATTTCACAGCACAACCTGCATCCGCTTCGTTCCCCATCAGAATGAAAAGGACTACATCAGCATTGAAAACCAGGGTGGATGTTTCTCGCCTCTGGGCAGAATGGGGGGCAAACAGGTGCTCTCTCTCAACAGGCAGGGCTGCATCTACCAAGGTGTTGCTGAGCATGAACTCAACCATGCTCTGGGCTTTGTCCACGAGCATACCAGAAGCGACCGCGACAACTATGTCAGAATCAACTGGGAGAACACTGACCCTCAGCAGGCCTACAACTTCGATAAGTCGTCCACTGACAACCTGGACACTCCCTATGACTACTCCTCCATCATGCACTATGGAAAAACAGCCTTCTCAGTGAACGGGTGGGACACCATCACCCCCATCCCCGACTCCGACATCCAGATTGGCCAAATAAATGGCCTCTCCCAGTGGGACATCTTCAGGATCAACAAGCTCTATAGCTGTGAATGACAACACTGCATGTTTCTTTGGAACAACTAAGTAGCAGGATGAAGTCTGTTAACTAGTGAAACCAGTCATATGTACTTTAACTCACAATCATAATAAAATTCAAGCAAAAACATACTGGGTTTCTCTTTTTTCCAGCTCCCACATGGAAAATTTGCAAACTTGCATGAAGGCACTGATGCACAAACTAAAACCATGACAATCTCTCTAGATGCTCATTTAGCAATTCTGGTAATATATAATTTTTCTGATTGTCAAATAATCCCAAGATTAAAACAAGCAGTAACTCTATCCTCCTAACAAATATTGTCTTTGTATGCAAAGTCTGATATAGTTTATGTATTTGTGCCATAGAGCTCAGTGGTGTTAAACCGTATGCCAACAGAAAGGTAGGACTCACACCCAGGTCAGAGAAAGCCATTTATTCAACAGAGTATGGAAAGAAAAGGAGGTGACGAGTATCAGACGCGGAGCTACCAGTGTGGGTTTCGGGCAGCTGTAACGACTGGACCACTGGAGGAGCCACCCGGGGTCAGAGGAGAGGTTTGACACTGCGTATAGAGCAGAGAAGATTATGAGGGAAGACGACAGGCAGACGAGGGTCTGATTATATAGAGCACAACACAGGTGACCTGCGTATAGAGAAATGCTGGTTCAGGGCAGGACAGCGTGGCTGACTGGGAAGGAAGTCTTAGGACGCAGGAGCTGGTGTGTAGTACTCAGTGGATGGCAGAGCAGGTGGGCGGTGGCCGAGAAGAGGGTAGAAGCTTGGATCCCAGCGCCGAGGTATGCAGACAGGAGCAGGCCCAGGCACTTGACCCTGACTCCAAACAACAATCTCCGATACAGAGGTATGGGGGCACCAGGTAACAGTTCAAACAAGAATATAAAGCCCTGTTCCGTAACCAGTTCAGAAAACATAAAACACTCTTCGATAATCAGTTCAGACAAAACATAAAATGCTCCTCGGTAAGCAGTTCAGAAAAACACAAACAGGACATAAGGTAATCACACTCAGGACGTGTAATATGCGAAGTCACAGGTAGAAGAACAAGAGATCATCTGGCGACGAGGACACACCAACGCCCTTAAGTATGGTTCTGATGATTGAGAGCAGGTGTGCCTCACCGCCGGGTGTGTGCTCCTACATGAGCGGGGGTGGAGTCACCGGCAGCCCCGGTGTCTGCTGACGAAGTGCTGGGAATCGCTCGATCCTAGGATGCAACAAGTGGTTTCTGAAAACTATTACAAACATCAGCGACATGAACACACACAGTTTTGATCAATACCACTTACACTATCCTAAAGTATGCACCCAACACAGTACACCTGTAATCACCAGGGGAGTACGTGTAAGAATTACTTCACTTGATTTGACAAAAAAGAAATGTCAACTACTGTATAATGCCTGAACTCCATATGCTACAACTAATAGTGTGTGAAGACACTAGCAAGTCAGCAGAACCATGTTTTGTATTTTTGGATGTGGGCCCAAATGCAGACAGAGCCATTTAGGATGGCAGCCACAAGACCAGGCAGGAAGCTCGGGCCGCTCAGGAGGGGGGTGACTTGAGGGGCAATGGCAAAGGTGAAATTCTTCTGAAGGGTGGCAGCATGGAGGCTGGTGAAGAAGACAGAACCCCTCTGTCTGGTGTATGTTGGAGGCTGGCTGACTCAGCAACAGGGGGAGAAATGAGGCTAGCAGGCCCAGTCCTAGTCCCCAGAAAGGGCTGAAGAGTGAGTGGAACAAGTCCCCTTCTGCAAGCGTCCACCCCTACCATGATAGAATCCCTAACATATACTTAGCTTTTATTATTTTCTTGGCTATAGAAAGCTTTTAACAGATTTACAGTATGACAACAAACACAAAAGTGTGACTGATTTCTCCAGTTCCTGGGAGTTCACTATGACTGCTGTCCTAAGTTAAAATGTACTGTGTATCACTGAATTTTTCATTTTTACACCTTAAAGTTTGCAATTCTAACACAACATGAGGGGAACAATTGTTGACAATGCGTAATATTCAGGTGTCTGAGCAGACACGTGATAAAACACAACACAGACCACACCTAGTATCAGTGTGTTGGTCTTTCTCACAAATCCTGCATCTTCTCTGTCAGTCAGAGCTGTCGGTTGTTTGTAGCCTCAAGGTCTTCTGGATCCAAGGTTTTGATGTCAGCCCGCTCTGGGACAGCACAGTCATCCTACAGCCTGTGGGCAGCAGCACAACCATTATGGTGCTGTGATTTACCTGGACCCAGAGTCCCTGAAGGATTGTGAGTGTCCACATGGTCACAGTCAACGAGATGATGAACAGCTGTTGAATTAAGGTAAAATAATTGTAAGAAATCAAACATTTTTAAAACTCAAGCCTCACAGCAACAAAATAGCTGATCACAGATGACAATGTAGTAGTCAGACTGTAGACAACACAATCTTGCCCAGTTGTCAATATAACAACTCTACAAAACTATCTTATACAAGAAGAGTCAGATATTTTGGTAAATATTCTAATTTGCTTTCTTACTGAGAATGAACACATGCACTAAGTAAGAAGATTACAGTCATGTCTGCAGCATAATGACTGGAAACAATGGGAAACAACTAGCCTGGCTCTGTCCAAAGGGAATCAAACAGCACTAATTAATAAACACAATATACACTGACTGGCCACTTTATTAGGTACACCTGTACAATTGTATGTATTTCCGCCTTAACATCTGTGTTTATGAAGCCCAAATGTTTCAGTTTTTGGTGCATTGTTGCATTGAAGTGCATACAATTGTACATATTTAGGTGTACCTAATAAAGTGGCCAGTCAGTGTATCTAATTTGTTTCATTTGTATGAAACCTAAACTAAACCAAAGATTACACATTGGAGTTTGGCAGGGATTATGTGCCAGTCTGTTTTTGACCAGGCACAGTCATTTTCTGGTGTCTTAGCTCACTACCTGGTTATCTCATGGGGCCAAAAATCTAACTTGCCATTTTTAATTTAAGTAATGATTGTAATGATGATTCTCATTATTGGAACAATTTCATGATAATTACACATGTCTTATGAGCGGTGGAAACAAAGTCATGAGTGAACATGTGATATGATGCGAACGTTCTTCAAACAATTGAATACCTAACTATAGAACTCACCATGGTCTGAACAGTGTTTTGATAGGAACCAACCAGGTTTCATATCCAGGTGAACCATATTTCTGCTTTTATGCCATATACTTTGGCCATTTTCACAAAAATTTGTTTATAATCACACTTCAAAGACCATTCAGTTTCGACCAGCACCCAGAGTTTGAAGGTGAAATGTCAGAGAAATGGAGACAAAGTGAGCCACAACCGGTGGAAACCAGCGTGGAAACTGCTTCCTGTTGCTCTGCAGTTTGCTCAGTCTCAATGTTTTACATTGGGAACAAGTTAAACACTATGTTGCCCGTTACACCCATCCATCTCACTGCCACACACATGCATATGTGCGTTCCATACTTGAGGTAGTTATTAATGAGTTAAGAACAACTGTTAAAAGATAATAATGTACATCCATCCCCCTCTGCAGAAGTCTATATGCAGTGTCCCTCATGGTGTATATACACATACACACACACACCTGAATGTTCTGAGGGGCAGTAGAGTTATAACAAGTCTTTTGAGACCGATCAACTGCTGTATTTGTGGCTCATCAGAATTCATGTGCCACATCACATTAGTCCCCGTGTGTGAACCGTGATTTTACTTTGTAATTTCCAAGTGCCTCGCTGCCTATACATATTCATGTTGTGCCTATAGGTGTCAAATTGAGATGTCCTTTCAGTGCCCTTGACAGCAGGTTATTAATATTGAATATCTAAGTCAACATAACTAGATAAAAAACTATACAGGTCATCGTCTGCCAAAGTCTCCACACCCTCTGTCCTCAAGACAACTGCACAAATCATAATTATTTAATATGATGTAGCATATGTGTACATTGCAGTGAGCAGTTAAGGGGTATTTTATTAGTTTACTTCTCTAGAGCTGGTATTTCATGTATTTCTCAAACAATCCCCTGTTAAGAGATACAGTATCAATAATACTCAAATTGCCGGCATTTTAAGCATCTAATCAGGTTAATCATTAAATAGGCAGTGCTTTTATAAGGCATCTGATACAAAAACTAGGGGATTTTATTGTGTTTAATGAGCACAGTTTTCCTGTAATTTCACTCATTTCTCTGTTAAGCGGACCCACGTGCTCTGACCTAAAAGCCATAAATCCCAGGGTATTACTCTGAATGCCAACATCTTAACTATTCCAATTTTCCAATCCCTAAATTGGTGCGGCTGTTGTTGCTTGTGGCAGGTTTTAAAATGCTCCTCCTGCTCCCGAGGAGCGTGTAGCCTGGTAGTTTGGCTGTGCTTGATAGGCTGCAGGCATCTTGTCACAGCAGCTGAGAGGAGGTCGCTGAGGTCCTCCTGCTCATGGCGACGCCCAAGGGCCATAAACACAGTGGGGAGCCAAAATGCCAGCGAGGTCTCATACAGCCTTGCTTTGCTTTACAAAAGCCTAATGAAGAGACCGGTCTTAGAAACTGTGCTGTTAAACACCCAGAATCCTGCAGCACGGGAGCATGGACAGGATGAATACGGCATGCAGAGGAACTCAAAAATAAGCGGCAGGCAGAAAGTCAGAAAAAAGATGAAACACTTTGTGCTTGTGTGTGCATTTATTGCTGCTAGAAATGAAGAACACAAAGCCCACATCAGTGACAGTCACTGATAAAGTTACACTTACAGTGCATCCTCTATGTAGAATGAATGAAAATCTAAAGCTAAATGCAGGCACTCATCTTGGCAAGTAAACATAAATCCATATTTTCATGTTGAAGGACAATTAGCACTGTATGCACATACAGTAGTTCTTCATCAATTTTTAAAGGTAAATATAAGAAATGAAGTATTTGATGCATAACATCTGCTACGAACTCTTGAAATGGTATTGGATTTAATCATCATTTGGATCCAATTCCATTTCATCACATCCTCCTGCATCTCAAAATATGAAAAGTTCAATTTGGAAATTGATCATTAATATTTAAAACCGCACTTAAAAATATTTTGTAAAAGAAATGCTTAGGACAGCTTCTACCCTTTAAGTTACCCCTAATGAGATTTACTTTTGTTCCAGCCACAGTTTTGTTACTTTTTTCATTTTGGAACTGAAGCCTTCATATCTGTCAATACAAATTATGGAGGAATATACACAGAAATGTTGCATACCCAACATATACATTCAGTTGGTTAGGACAGGGACCAGAAATATAAAATAAAGCAGCTTCTGATTGAGTATCTAAAATAATAAATCTAAAATATCTAAAATAAACTACATACAACAAAATATCTACAATCTTTGGGAATGATAATACAAACTGCTCCTGAAATCCACAGACAGACACATTAGTAAAATGTGTTAAAATAATCTCTGCAGGGTCCTCAGCGTGGACGAGTTTGGTTGTGGGGTCTTTAAGTGCTGGTGCAGAGCTGTGCATCACCACAGCAAATTAAGAGTCATACCCACCACACATCCTGAAACCAAGAAAAAGTGAGATTTTGCAGACCCCCAGCACATCCACTGGTACCAGTTCTTAGCTAGAAAGCCCACAAACAGCAGCATTGGGTCCCATTTTCATCACGTCCTCCTGCATTCTACAAGATCTTCTTCTTCCTACTGACTCTCATCTCACTGTACTGTACCTGCAGAACACAAGAAACAGGGTCACTTTATTCACCAAACACTTCACAGGTGTGAAGTAATTTCATTTCACTTGCATTTATCTTACGGAACTTTTATTCAATTATATCACAAAACAAAATGTATGCATAGTGTGATGAAGGAATACATTTACCTATAAACAGAACAACAATAGTTAGTGGATCAAATCATCCATCCATTTTCTAAACCGCTTAGTCCCAAACAGGGTCACGAGCCAATCCCAGCCAGCTGCAGGGGAGGGTACACCCTGCCACTCATACAGGCAATTGAGAGATGCCAATCAACCTATGCTGCATGTCTTCGGACTGTGGGAGGAAGCCGGAGCACCCGGAGAGAACCCACGCAAGCACGGGGAGAACATGCAAACTCCGCACAGAAAGGCCCCGGGTCGGCTGGGACTTGAGTCCGGAACCTTCTCACTGTGAGGCAACAGCACTAACCACTGCGTCACCGTGCTGCCCTGGATCAGGGGCAATATTTATTTATTTAGCACTTTAAAAACGTGGGGTGCAGGGCTCATTGTTACGGGCTGTCCATCCCCTGTATGACCAGAGGTCGTACAGGAGCTTGGCCCGCATTGTAGGCAGTAAGTGAGACCTGTTCCCAGTGCACGTTGGACTCTGTCAAGGCTGCCCTTTGCCACCGATTCTGTTCGTTATTTTTATGGACAGAATTTCTAGGTGCAGCCAGGGAACGGAGGGTGTCTGTTTTGGTGGCTGCAGAATCTCGTCTCTGCTCTTTGTGGATGATGGGGTTCTGTTGGCTTCATCAGTTCAAGATCTACAGCGTGTGCTGGAGGGGTTTGCAGTCGAGTGTGAAGCGGCGAGGATGAGCATTAGCACCTCCAAATCTGAGGCCATGGTTCTCAATCAGAAAAAGGTGGATTGCTCTCTCCGTGTTGGGGGCGAGTTACTCCCTCAAGTGGAGGAGTTTAAGTATCTCGCGGTCTTGTTCATGAGTGAAGGAAAATGGAGCAGTAGCTTGACGGATCGGTGCAGCGTCCACAGTAATGCGGTCTCTGTACCAGTCAGCTGTGGTGAAGAAAAAGCTGAGTCGTAAGACTAAGCTCTCAATTTACCAGTCGATCTACATTCCTACCCTCACCTATGGCCATGAACTTTGGATCATGACCGAAAGAATGAGATTGCGGATACAAGCGGCAGAAATGAGGTACCTCCGGAGAGTGGCTGGGTGCACCCTTAGGGATAGGGTGCAGAGTTCAGTCACCAGTGAGGAGGTCAGAGTAGAGCCGCTGCTCCTCCACATTGAGCGGAACCAGTTAAGGTGGCTCGGGCACCTGTTTAGGATGCCCCCTGGACACCTCCCTGGGGAAGTATTCTGGGCACGTCCCTCCGGCAGAAGGCCTTGGGGCAGACCCAGGACATGTTGGAGAGACTATGTCTCCCAGCTGGCCTGGGAACGCCTTGGGCTTCCTCTTGAGGAGCTAGAGGAGGTGTGTGGGGAGAGGGAAGTCTGGGAGGCTCTGCTCAGGCTACTGCCACCGTGACCCGGTCCCGGATGAAGTGGATGAAGATGGATGGATGGTCTTTAAAAACATCTTGTTGAGCAAAGTACTTTACATTATTACAATAAAAATCAATAAGACTGGATCATTATGAAACTTAAAAGCAGAAGAAAAAATTAAACACCAGATAAAACCAACCAATATAGAATATAAGACTCCACTAGACGTTAAAAGCCATGGAAAATAAATAGGTCTTAAACGATGATTTAAAAACGTTTGGACCAAGACCTTGGTACCTCAAGTAAAAACAGGCTTGATGACCTAAGTGTCTCGCTGGCTTGTGCCATCATATGAGATCACTGAGGTAAGGAGGTGCCAGAAAATTTTAAAACTTTAAAACAAAATCAACAACTTAAAATCAGTTCTAAAATGGACTCGAATCCAGTGAAGAGATGCCAGAATAGGGGTTATCAAGTCAAGTCAAGATTTTTATATGCCATTTATGCATAAACAGACAATCTAGGCATATAGGAATTCTCGTACAGCTCTCCTTTGGAGTCAGGTAAGGAGTCAAAAGCCAGAAAGAACACTTAGTCTTAAAATAAAAAAGTTACATAAAGGCAACCAAGCATTAAAACCGCAATACACAAAAATAGGGCAATAGTATTTTCCCCAGTGAACTTCAAACATCGCACTTAGTAATTCACATGGTGGAGTTGGATATGTCATTATGCTAGGTGAGGTAGTGAGGGGTTATAACATACTAAAAAACAGTTTATAGGCCTGTTTCCATTGCTTGGTGGAGAATGTCCTGCTATTATTCAGGTCCCACAAGTGAACACTGTTGATGAGATGCTCTTACAAACATACCTTGTGGAACATTTCTGTATTATTATTGGGCATGTCTAGTAAGGGGTTATTGCACATATATTCTCACATTTCTCACATTTTCGTATTTGCCATCAGTCTTACTGCAGCAGGGAAAAAGCTGTTGTAAAGTCTTGTTCTGTGTGTGTTGATACTGTCCGCCCTGCTGTGCCTGAGGCTGTAGGTGCAGTTTTTGTGTCTGAGAATAGAGTGAGCTGGGTGGAGTGAATCTTTGCTTATGTTCTCTGCCCTTTTATGACAGCGCTGTGTGTATAGCGTATCCATAGCAGGCAGTTCAGTCCCAGTGATCCTCTCTGCAGTCTTTATGAACCTTTGAAGAGCCTTCCTCCCTGCCTGTGTGGTGTTACCATACCAGACTGCGATGCCAGTAGTGAGGATGCTCTCTACCAGTCCTCTATAAGCCTGGGTGAGAGGGCAACAGATCAACCCAGCTTTTCTGAGCCGTCTGATATAGCCCGTGACCCGGTCCCGGATGACTTTCTTCACTGTGGCAGCTGTGTTCAGTGACCAGCTCAGGTCAGATGTCACTTGCAGGCCCAGGAACTGTCAGCCCTCTCCACCTCAGTCCCTTTGATGGTCAGAGGCAGCAGAGGGGAGGGGTTCTTCCTGAAGTCTAGAATGGTGGTGTCATCAGCATATTTAATGATGATGGTGTTGTCATGTTTGGAGACACAGTCGTGGGTATACAGCGTGAAGAATTTGGGGCTGAGACAGCAGCCCTGCGGTGAGCCTGTGCTGATTGTGAGCTCAGCCCTCCCATTCTAACTACCTGTGGTCTTTCAGTCAGGAAATCCAGAATCCAGTTACAGGTGGGAGTTGGGACACCGAGGTCTGTTATCTTCCCAATCAGACTACCCGGGAAAATGGTGTTGAATACAGAACTGTAATCCAGGAAGAGCATCCTAGCATACGTACTGCTGTTGTCCAGGTGTTTCAGGGAATGGAATAAAGCCAGAGCAGTCACGTTGTCCCCTGATCTGTTGGGGCGGTGGGCAAACTGGAGGGGGTCTACAGTGTCTGGGACCACTTGGTTAACGTATGTAAGGACCAGTATCTGTAAGCACTTCATGGCAACTGATGTGAGCGCCATTAGCCTGAAGTCATTCAGAGTGGATGTGTCTGACGTCTTAAGGACCGGTATGATAATGGACTTTTTGAAAATGCGAGGAACTAGTCCTTGGATTAAAGACAGGTTGAAGATGTCTGTATACACACTAGCTAGTTGATCCCCACAGGCTCTCAACACTCTAGGGGGGACACCGTCTGGTCCCGCCACCTTATGGGGGTTTACCTGTTTCAGGACCTTCAAGACCTGTGTGTGTGTCACAGTGTCCCCCGGGTCACAGGGGGATTTTGACGAGCTGTCTGTATTCATCCTGTCAAACCTTGAATAGAAGTTGTTGAGGCTGTCTAGGAGAGTGGCGTCCTGGGGGGCTGTGTTTGTTGATTTGTTCCTGTAGTTTGTGACTGCCTGGATTCCCTGCCACATACTGCATGTGTTGTTATTTATGTAGTAGCTCTCCAGTTTTTGGAAGTATGCTCTCTTTGCAGCTCTGATGGACTTCTGTAGCTCATATCGGGCTTTCCTGTACTCCACTTGGTCCCCTGACTTAAAAGCCCCCCATCTCTTCCCTATTTCCTGTTTTATATCCCTATTAAACCATGGTTTTTTGTTGGGGAAAACACGCACCGTTATAGCTGGTGCGCATATGGATTTGCACCAACTGATGTAGTCACTCACAGTCTCTGCGGTTATATGATCATATTTACATGTACTTGCCATAAGATGAACAGCAGCATTTTGGACCCTCTAGAATCACGAGGGCAACGTGTGACTGTCTCCAGTGTACAGTGTGTTGCAATAGTCAAGACTGAATTTCAATTTCAAAGTCACTGAAGGGAAGAAATTATTTCCCTTTAATAGCTCGACTTTACATTTTAGTTTATCTGTTTATCAAATTTTACATACCCAGTCTAGATGCATTTGACGGATCTGTATGTATAATGTATATTTACAGGTATTGTACTGAGGGTTATTGTCCTGTCATACTGTCCCCTCACCCAGGTGCGAGGGGTCTGCAGAAATCTTCTCTGCCCTCCTTTTGACCCGTGAGGTGTACAGGTCCTCCATGGAGGGCAGGCTGGCGAAATCTTTGTCCGCCATCGAGGTCAGGCTGACACCAGTCTTTTCTACTGTCTGTTGGAGTCTGTTCCTGTCCTGTTTGGTTGCTGAGCCAACCCAGACAGTAATGGAGGTGCAGAGAACAGACTCGATGATTCCTCTGTAGAACTGTATCAGCAGCTCCTGGGGCTGGTCGAACTTCCTGAGCTGGCGCAGGAAGTACATCCTCTGCTGTGCCTTTCTGATGATGGCGCTGATGTTGGACGACCACTTCAGGTCCTGGGAGACAGTGGAGCCCAGGAGCTTGTAGGATTCTACTGCTGATACAGTGCTGCCAAGTATGGTGATATAGTAAGGTGGAGGGGCTCCTCCTGAAGTCCACTGTCATCTCCACTGTTTTGAGCATGTTCAACTCCAGGTTAC